ATTTTAATTCAACAAGGATTTCAGCAGCAGTAGAAAGTGCTGCCTTTGATAAAAGAAAGATGTATTAGGTTCAAAGGACCTGTAACATGAATGGAAGGGGTTAAATTTCCTACTTGATAAGGTAGTAGGTTACAAAATTTAGGTGGATTTTCCTGTTTCTTGCATACAAAAGGAAGTTGAAAATTTGTTATGAAGAACCAGGGAGATAAGCTGAAGAATGAAGAAGGAATGCCAGAAACAGACAAGACCAAAGAGAGAAAATGAATTTATATTTATGTTATTTTCTTTCTTAGTAAAGGCATGCTAAATAATGTGGACTGTGCAGGTCAGATGCATTTGTTCAGACATATTTACAGTCTCTCTCTCTCTCTCTATATATTTAGGGGATATTATATATGTATGAAGATTAATGAAAGCAAAAAATAAAATTATTTAGATTTTACAGAAGAAAATGTGTTATAGATCAAGTTCCCAAAAATAGAAATCTTGAGCAGGAGAGAGAGGAGAAGGGACAAAGCTACTATAATATTGACATAGCAGTTTTCAAAAGGAACTGAAAAGCAGGCTGTCTGCCAACACAAAGATCTGTAGGAACAGCAGAGAGAAATCCAAGAGATATTAAAAATAAAATAAGTAACATAAAATATTTTAACATATTTATCACAACAAAGTGACTGAGAAACATTACTACAAATTTACGTGACATTCCCCAGACATGACATTAGTGAGGCTAAGACCCTGGAGGAATTGTTTACGTGCACTTAAATAGAAAAGGCTGTTCAGAGCTCAAGAGCTTGTCCAAAGCCAGGAGGCTTTATGATGGCGGCTTAACACTCTTAAAGAGGGGATAATTCTTGTACTGGAAAGAATATTCACAGATAACAATAAACAGGGAACATTTGTCCCTACTGGAAAAAATGGCCTGCTGTAAGTCTTGAAGTCCCTGATCATTTTGTCTATGGAGACACTCAAGTTGGAGTAAGAGAAGCTTACTGAGTGATGCTATGGAGCTTTGTGCATGTAGACAGTATACCGCAGCAACTTTGATGTTTATTGAGTATGATTTAAAACAAATCATTTTTTTTAATATGATTTCAAATGTAACCAATAGTTGAAGACTAGCCAGTAGGCAGGTATGTAAAAGGCAGTTTATAACTAATACTGAAATCTACTTGCTTTATCTAACCAAAAGAACAAGTGAAGCTCCTTCTGTCTCTTGATTTAAATTTTGCTGAATAAGGCATTTTTTATAAGGGCAACAAATCTGGTGAAGGGTCTAGAGAATGAGTCTTATGAGGAGTGGCTGAGGGAAATGGGGTTGTTTAGCTTGGAGAAAAAACAGCTCAAGAGACACCTTATTGTACTTCACAACTACCTTAGAGGAGGTTATAATGAGGTGGGGATTGGGCTCTTCTCTCAAGCACCAAGTGGTAAGGCCTCAACTTGCACCAGGGGAGGTTAAGGTTGAATATTAGGAGAAATTTCTTTACTGAAAGGGTTGTGTGGCATTGGAATAGGCTGCCCAGGGAAGTGGTTGAATCACCATCCCCAGAGGTCTTCAAGAAATGTGTAGATGTAGAACTTAGTAACATGGTTTAGTGGTGGACTTTAGTACTAGGTTAAAGGTTGGACTAGATGATCTTACAGGTCTGTTTCAACGTGAATGTTTCTCTGATTCCAATTCTTTTATTATCTGTGTAATTCTGATGTTGTCCTCCAGTGTAAAAGGTAAAAGGCACATGGACTGTGATTTCACTGCGGTTCCATAGTAACACTACAGAATTCAGAAAACAAGTTCAGCTGAGTTAGTTGCTGTGTTTCTATGCTTATTAATAAAGTAGCAATGCAGATATTAATGAATGGACAAGTGACTGCTGACCAAATCTGAAGCACAAAGAACTTTAGTGGACAAAAACAAACAAGTAAACAAACAAACAAACAAACAAAAACCTTGCTAGTAAGGTTTTTATTTCTGGAATTCTTGCATTGGTTTTAAGGATATCACCTTAGGTTTTTTTTGCAGCCATATGGACTACAAGCTACAGCCTAGAAACAGGTGGTCATATGCATGAACTAATCCTTTTATCCTTTCATTCAGGTCCATTCTCATGTCATTCAGTACAGGCACAGCTAAGATCCATAGAATTTCATTATAAATGGCACATTTTATTTCCTTTTTAATCAGTTACAAAAGCACAGAAAATATTTTTCTCACATCAGGAAACAAAGGTTTCAGAGCATCTTGTCAAATGTGAGACTGTTGATAAGTGCAAGTGTAAATTCTGAAGAATTGATTTTTTGTGGTCTTGATACTCTCACCTGTAACACTCCAGATCTTACCAAAGCAATGACCAACATTATTAAAAGAAGTACCTTAATGTGTTTTATTGAGCTTTCCTCAAATCTGTTCTCTGAGACAAGACTGCAGACATTTCTCTTGTATATAATGAAGTTCCTCCTTGTGGAATACAGTATGTGTGTGCCATGTGCTCACAGGAATCATGTGACTGCAGTGAGTCATGCAGAATGATTTTGAACTTAACCTGTCTTACTTCTGGACTCAACTTGTATTACTTCTGGACAGCTGGAAGCAAAACTTGTCTGTAAAACAAGTACAAACTTGTTTGCAAAACAAGTACAAACTTGTCTGCAAAAGCCTGTGCAGACAGATTGTCTACTCAGCATTGGTGAGGCCACACCTGGAGTACTATGTCCTGTTCTGAGCTACCCAATGCAAGAGAGACATGGACATACTAGAAAGGGTCCAACATGGGGCCACAAAGATGATGAAGGGACTAGAGCATCACTCCTATAAGGGAAGGCTGAGAGCACTGGGACTGCTCATCCTGGAGAAGAGGAAGCTCAGGGTGGATCCTACTTATGTGTAGAATCATAGAATCCAGAGAATATCCCCAGAATATCCACAAGGACCATCAAGTCCATCTCTTGGGTCCCCAAAGGACCACCCAAGAAATCAGACCATGTGGCTGAGAATATTGGACAATACTTTTCTTGAACTCCAGCAGGCTTGGTGCCATGGCCACTGCCCTGGGGAACCTGTTCCAGTGCCCAATCACCCCTTCAAAGAGGAAACCTTTTCCTGATATCCAGCTTGAACATCCCTTTTCGTAGCTTCAAGCCATTTCCTCAGGTCCTACTGGTAGTCACCAGAGAGCAGAGATCAGTGCCTTCCCTCTGCTCCCCTTGTGAGGAAGCTGTAGACTGCAATGAGGTCTCCCCTCAGTCTTCTCTTCTCCAGGCTGAACATGCCAAGTGGCTTCAGTCATTCCTCATAAATCTTCCCCTCTAGACCCATCACCATCTTTGTAGCCCTCCTTTGGACCCTCTCTAACAGTCATATCTTTCTTATTCTGTGGTGCCCAAAAATACAGTCAGTACTCAAGGTAAGGCTGCACCAGCACAGAGCAGAGTGGAACCATCCCTACCCTCAACCAGCTAATAATGCTATGCCTGATGCACCCCAGGGTATAGTTATATCCTTGCTGCCAAGGCACACTGCTGGCTCATGTTCACGTATAAATATCTGAAAGGAGAGTGCAAAGAAGATGTGGAGGCAGTCTCTTTTCTGTGGTATGCAGTACCAGGACAAGTGGGCACAAATTGAAACACAAGAGATTCCATCTGAGGATCAGGAAGCACTTCTTTACTGTGAGGATGAAGAAGCACTGGCACAGGCTGCCCAGAGAAGTTGTGGAGTCTCCCTCCTTGGAGATCTTCAAAAACTGCCTGAACATGTTCCTCGACAGCCTGTGCTGGGTGGCCCTGCTTGGGTATGGGGTTGGAGCAGGTGACCTCCTGAGGTCCTTTCCAACCTCAACCATTCTCAGATTTTGTGATTTAAAGTCTCTTATTAAAAATGAGTAAATCCATCTATGAACTTCACAGGGATGCTTCAACATTCTGAACTCTTTTTTTAAACTGAGACAGTAGTTGAAAAATCCTTATGATTTGCAGTACAGAGAAAACATTATGTGCCAAAGAAGCCTCTTTAAATTACAGGAAAGACAAAAAAAAAAAAAGGTGTATTACTTCAGTATTACTTCATAATCTCTTATTCTTCAAAGGCCTTCAAATGAGAAAATAAAATAAAATAAAATAAAATAAAATAAAATAAAATAAAATAAAATAAAATAAAATAAAATAAAATAAAATAAAATAAAATAAAATGTAACAGCATTGTCCTTAATTTAGGGAAAGGTGGACTGTTTCATGATATATTATTATTTCTAATAATAAATCACATTTCAAAGTTTATATCTAGAAGAATTTTGGCAGTGGAGATAAAGAATATTTATAACTGAACTATTAAAAACATCTCATGTTCCTTAAATATTTTGGCAGCATGTTTAGAAGATTTAATATACACAGACTCACAAACCCATTTTGGAGCCCAGGTCTCAAGAGATTCATTGAGACTTAAGCTCTTAAAAGCCTATTTGAATCTCAGTCCTACACCGGATGTAATGTAATACATTTGCAATATTTCTGCTTTGTTGTCAATAATGGAAAAGAATAACAAATTAAATTTAGAGATTTACATGGTTTATATAGGTCCCAAATTAAGACAATCCAGTCTTTGTTAGCCTAGCATATTGTACACGTACCTTAAATGTACTTAGAGCCTTAACTTCCAACGTTTGAGCATGACAGTTTTCACCACCTCTATCAAGAATTCTACGTATTTCATGACCTGCTGGTGATAAATAAGATACTCCAGTTAATGACAGTTAAGCACCTCCAACTGTTTGCTTCCTTGATCTTCGTTTCTGATTCATGGATGCATTGCTTTTGTCCTAGAGTTTTCTTTGGGCTTCTTAACAGACTTAGCTGGAATTATTCATTCTCTTCTGCTCATTTTCAAAATAGAGAATCAGTTAAATGGGAGTCACATTGTGCTTGTTAAACACCTGTTGCTATAGACTTTTAATTGATTATCCTGCAAATTATCCTGCCTTTAATTTGTTTCACTTTTGTTTCAGTTTCAGGAATGATGATGGCTTTGAATTAAGATACTGTCAAATCCACACAGGTATTTTCATACTAGACATCTTGTTTTCTAGGTTCATATTCAGAAACAAACCTGGATGTATTCTTTCTGCTATTTGTAATTATGCTTGCTGTTTCTGGGACTGCACCTCAGCTGTTTAGATAACACAGATTATAGTCTTCAGTCTCCCTGAACAGACTACTAACAGGCATTTGTTCAAGTTTGTACTTAAAGCACTTGGATTCAGAAACCTTCAACACTTGTACTGAAGTACTTGTAACCTTCAGTTACTGGTGGCCAAAGACGTGCAACAACTAAAAGGAGTATTGCATGGCTCCTTCTGGGAGCCTGAAGCCAGTTGCTGTGGTACAGTTAAGCACAGGAGGAGTTAGTTAAGCCAAGGTATGTATTTCAGTAGGATCTCAAAATTGTATTATAGATGGAGCTCTCAATAGTTCACAGCCCAAGACAGATTTAGGGGGGCCTGATGGATTGCAGAAACTGCATCTTGAGCAGACTTCCTTGCTTCAGTACTGTGCAAGAAAATAGTGTCTGAAAAAATGATACACATTTGCACAAGAGAGTTGAATTAAAAGATAGCATTTCCTACTTATTTTAACCATATCATGACAAGGCTCTTTTCAGTGTAGTTAATCTGACTTTTTAAAGATTCCTATTAAAATTCAAGACTCTGATCCTCCTAATTGCATGGATTTTCAGAAAAAAAGCAAAGAGCCAATCACAATAATATTTTCTTTAGAAAGTAACTTTTGCTGTACCAAAAGAGCAATATATTGTTATTCTCATCTAAGTTTGGCTTAAGAATATCAAAAAGGAGTAAATTCTTCCAACTCTGTTACCAAGAACCCTATGCTCTCCAGCACAATGATGCAGGTGACTGGTTGAAGTCGAAATATCATCAGTGTCTGAGACAGTCCGGCTTTCCTGACCCTCCATACTCTCCCCTGCTGCTATGGCTGAGCAAAATACTTCTCTCTTTTTGTTGCTACATCAGCACAGGCCAGTCAGACCCTACATTTTCACTTAAATATCCTACTTTAATTGTCACTACCTGGGGAAGAATAGGTAGTGTTAGAAACAAAGCATAAACAGAAAATGACTTCTTACTCTAACAGCTGAATTATTTTCCTAATCTTAATAAATAAATAAATAAATAATTATTTTTGACAAGAAGCAAACTGATGCTTTTGTCACAACAGACAAAAGGTTTGATGAGCATAAGGCCCTAGAAATACAAGCCTAGAATTAATATCTTGTGTCATTATCATTACATATTTCTTAATTTGCAACCATATACAAGTCTGTGCCAGTCACAAGGGAAATGAAGTATCTGTATTGCTATAGCTCTCAGTTGCTTTGTCACTATTATCTATTGTTAAAACAATTCCCAAAAAGACTTTTAAATTATTTCTCAAGTAAAATCCAGATGTAGGAATGCCAATACCTTTCCACAAGAGGTATACAAAGTCTTTGCCAAATTCATGGGGGAATATATGTGTCAAGTACCCACAAGACCAAAGACCTAGATTCATTATTGTTATCTTCTAGGTCATGTGCATCTAGTTTTCCTCTCTGTTGTACACACATTAATGAAATCATAGGAAAGGAGCTATATATAACTTCCATGCTCCCATTATTTCAGATTTCCTACTGAAAAATAACTTTTCTCCCTATTCAAACTTAATCTTATGTGTGATTGCTGGCCATTATTATCTTCTGTCTACTTTGCTCTTGCAATTTCCTGCTGCCTTTTTTATGCTCAGGAAAGTATTCTGTTTTGAAAAAGAAAACAAAATTATATGCTCTTAACTCACCTTTTGTCTTCAGATTTTCCAATAAAATATCATAAGTGTGTAATAAAAAAAGTCAGGAGAGTTTGACTCTATAAATTTCCCAGCCAGTTTTCAGACAATCAGTGGATGATACTAATTAGATTTGACAGACTAACACTGTCATGTTAACATACCTTTCTAATTTGATTCAAGATCATAGTTTAACTTAGGGACTGAGATCTAAACAAATTCTATTATATTTTTTGTTGGTTATGTGTATTTCTGTATCACTGTTACTTCTCCAATTTAGGGGAAAAAAATACCTTCTCCTTACACTCATCTTTTATCTGTAGAGTATGGATCTTACTGATCATATAATCCTTTTCATGCTTGCAAAACAGTGTAATGTCCCTTAATGGTAAACTGAAAGTTCTTTCTCTTTCTGATGAGAATGATAAATATTTTTATTTTTTTTAGAAATAACATTTATTTCATTATTTTTATTGAAGACCTGGGGTTGACTGCACAAAGCCCAAGAATTTTTCAGTATCTCCAAGGCCACTTCGACACACTAAAAAGATTCATAAATGTTAAAAAGTTCAAGTAATAAGAGTTTAAAAATTTCAAATGTTTCCCTCTCACAAAGTCATTACTATCATTACTTCCCCACAACTACTTCCTCTTTGCTTACAATGATCTACAGAAAAATCTTTCTATTTCTATGTATGATTACAGGTGCAGGCACATTCTGATTATGACCATTGTATACTAAAAAAAAACCACAACACTATTTAAATGCATGCATGGTCTGACTTTCTTGTGGTTTTAAGGTTGTCATTTATATCTGTGATCTAACACCAAATGAGAAATGTTCCATACTTACTTGCATTTACAGGAACAAATGTTCTAAATCAGGTAGTATGACCCAGTTCTGGAAATTATTTTTATGCTCACACTTAAGTTGCTATGATCTAAACATATGCCTGAATTTGAGTGTGCAGATGCACTTTAATTTATTTAAAAATTAGGATGTTTTTTGTGTATACATATTCATATGTTGTGCATGTATACTCATGCATACACATACACATGTATGTGTATGCATGTATATCTATATGTGTATCTATTTACAAATTAAAAACATAGTCTTTCATAGTGGTAAGTGTGAAGAACACATCATATCACTGATACTGAAAAAACATTTCAGTTTTGCAGCAGGGCTTAATATATCACCTGAAGGGCAGCTCCGTATACTCAGTTGTACCAGAACCTGCAAAACATGGACAAGTGAATTTACCTGTAACTGGGGGAATGCTTTTCCAAGGGTTGTGCCTCTGAGCCTAAAGTCATCATCTGTGATTACTCAGTTATTTAGGGAGGGCCCTGGAGCTCAAGGGCACTGCAAAGGCCAGGTATAATCATTTTCTGTCTGTTTAATCTTTACTGAGTCAAACTTTCAATGTGAAGGAAATGCACATAAGCCCCATTACCCAGAGTCTCCTCTTTGTCTCCATTTGCCTCTGCACATATTGACCCAGTGCAATGACAGATTAATGGTGACATTAAATGAAGTATTAAATTTAATCTTCTTTACTTGATGTAGCAAAAGTTCCCTTTCCAAATCGCCTTTCTTTAATTTTTGCTTCATGATTGCCATTTTTCATTCGCTGATTTTATTCATGCTAGACTAGGCCAGTGACCTAAAACTGCCAATTGGGAAGTGAAATGCTAATCACATTTCTTCAATTGAAAGCATCAGTGTAAAAGCTTCCCATGCATTATTTACATTAATTATTTTCTGTCTCAAGTATTCTCCTGCTTCCTCCTAAATCAGTTCAAATTAAATCAACACAATGGTTTATTTCAACTCCAAATGTTTACCATAGTCCTTCCCATTGACAAAATCCATCTTTTTTTTTCTTTTTTCTTTTTTTTTTATTTTTTTTTTTTCTCTGAATTTTCTTACTAAAAGGCCTTTCTGGCTTTAGGAGGCTACTTCACTTTGTTACTAGATGGACTTATTAGCCATTTAAGACCTATCTCTCAAGATGTTCTTGTAATCTTTTCTCTCCTTATAACATATTAATGTTCCTAGGATAACTTCTCAGATACAGGACAGTTATTATGTGACGGTCTGATTCTGATTCTGTTGGATATTTTGTATACTTAATTTCTAGAGAAAGAAATGTTCACTGAAACTACTTAGTTTATTACAGCACTAGCCAAAATCCTAAAGGCTCAAGTCCAGGGTATACACACTGTCCTTATTGTATAAGCTTTCTAACATTGACTGTGTCCTTTGCTTTCAAGTGTATTTTGGTTTAAACACCATTTTGCAATATTTTCAGTTCTTCAATATAGCATTAAACTTTATCTGCAGGAACTCGGTGTAGCTATTAGAATATTTTTATTTAACATATCATAAGCTAAATGCTGTTTGCTTCTTACTGTAATACTGGCTTTTAGTCACCTCATCTCATTTTATGTATAAGCATAGTACCAAATCATTCTTTATGGAAGTATGCAATTTATTTTAAATGAAACATATTTTAATAGATCTACATTTATTTTATCAAATACCACTATAAGGCAGCAGATTATATGCACCTTGCTGCTGATATAAAATAAAATAAAAAAATAAATAAAGGAAAGATTTTTCAAGGAGGATATTAAAACAGATTTTGGAAGCATCAATCATTCAGTGCTGTAAACATTAAATGGATTATTCTTTGATTCTTTGTGAAAATCCAGACATTATTTCTGCACACTCAGTCTATTTCTACACTTGGGGATCCTTCACATACACAGAAGTTACACATAGCATCACTGAACCCACCAAGTAAACTCCAGGATTTATTCTTCAATTAGAATGAAGAAAATATTAGGCGTAAGTCATTAGGCAGTTGTGCCCCTTACACAAAAGTCACAGCTAGCTGTCTGACCACATCATCCTTCTGCAAGCGTCTGCCCTGGAAAAGGAAGCAAGAGGTGTCCCTGCCCCCCAAAGATAAATATAACTGCTAAGAAGAGGTGGAACACAGTGTTGTGCAAAAATGGTTGTATAGCCCTGTTAGGGAGATTTGAAAGATGAGATGAGATCTAAAAGATGTCAGTTAAGAAGGAGACCTTTTATAGTATTACAGTGAACAAAACCATGTAGCCTGTAGCACTAAAATATTTATTACCATCCACAGCTCTTTGTTGGGGGTATCTTTCCTGTCTCCTCTTTGTCCCTCACTGCAGTAGGATCTGAATCAGAAGCCTTACATGACATATTTATTCTCATGGTACTGTGGTATAATCTTCTTTCTTTGTAGTGAATTGATATACAGGAATCCAGATGAATGCTTTGAATATGAAAACTCAACTGTTATGTTGACAGTGTTAGAGGTTACAGTATTCTCTCTTTGGCTGAATGCAGTGTTGTACTAAATCTGGTGGCTGCTCCTTCACAGCAGCAATGTTATCTTCTGGTTTGGAAACTTGACTGTAGGTAGAAGTCAGTAAAAGATGACAATATTATATTTAATTAAACATTCTATTAGAGAAGCGTGACTACATGAGGTTTCTAACAGATCCTCTCCTCAGTCACGTAATATTCAGTTTACATATTCACTTATTGGGCATTTTTTCCATACATTAGATCCATTATAACAATTTGGATTAACAGCTCTTTAACACAAAACTGCTAAAAAAAACCATGTCATTAAAGAAGAGCTAGTAACTGAATGAGTACGTTCTCATTTATCAAAATTCTTCTCCCCAAATAAAATTTTAATTAATGAATAAATTAGTCTTAATTAATCTTAAAGAATTATTCTTAAAATCTGCCTGGAAACAATAAAACAATTAATTAGAAACATGCACAAAGTGCAAGGGTTAGAGAGAGTAAGTTGGATCACAGACTGAGTGGCAATCAACAGTGCCATGTTGTTTCCAAAAAAACAAATGTTAGGCTGTCTAAAGAATGTGAAAAGCTCAGAATAATTCCATTTTAATAAGGCACAGTTGAATTACTGTGTTTGGGTTACATGTGACATTTTAATGAATTCAGAGCAGACAACAGGAGTGGATCAGAGGTCTAGAAAAAAAAAGTTGTGTGAAGAAAGATAGCAAGAACTGACGCTGTTTAATTTAGAGGACAATACACAGAGAAAAGATGTAATAGAAGTCTTCAATTACAGATAATCTGCCTTCTACGAGTTAGAAACGAATACACTCTTTCCAAAGGTTAAGACAGGAAGTAACAAACTTAATTTGCAGCAACGAAGATCTAGATTAGATGGTAGACAAAAAGGTGCTGAGTATAAAGATAATGATGAATGGAATTTATTGTTTGAGAAGGCAATGAAGTCAACATCACTGGCGATTTTAAAGGATGAATTAAATAATAATCCATCAGAAATATCTGACATTTAGCTGGTTATATATCTTCTAAAGACCTTTCTGATTTTACTCACTCAACTTTTCTGATCTATAAATATTGAGTTTAGGGTGACAGCCCAGGAAAACATGCTTGCAGAACATTGCTTATTCACCCAAGATGTTCCTTGTGGTTCCAAAAACCATGTGTTCCATGGTTCCAAAAACCATTTACTCTTCTGAAAGACCATGTGCTATTGAAAGAGACATTATCTGAGAATCAATAGCTGATGCTAGTCCTATTGATGTTATAGCTGAAAGCTCTTGGCTTTCACAATACATTATCAGCTCAAAGCCAACCAGAGCAAGTGCAGCTTTCCTACGGAAGCAAAAGGTATTAAGCCTTTCCAATCAGGTTACTGACACAGCTAAGGTAGAGGAAGGCATGCCATAGGATCTACAAGGACCTTTGGAGTCTGTGGGAAGCAGCTAAACTATCTCTGCTGGGAAACACTATAGGATGGAGCTGGTTCCCAGGCCTTAGCATAAGTAGCCTGTGGTAGGGCATGATTCGTGTTTACAAAGGACTCCCGTGACTGATGGTAGTGGTAGGTAGGATCTTCCTTCAAAGAGAAGAACCTCTTCAAAGGGTCTGGAGGGCTTGCTTAATTTTGGTCACAAAATTCTTTGCCATCTACACTGCCTTATTTTCCTTTACTATTGTTCAAAACAAAACAAAACAAAACAAAACAAAACATTTAACAGAGAAACTGCTAGTGATGGGAACAGTTTATTTACTTAGACTATGGAATGAAGCGCCTATAATATGTAATTCAATTTATGCTGTTAGAAAAAGTATGATACTTACAATAATGGCTGCTTATTCCCTATAGGTATCAGTGAATGAAATGAGAAGTTTAATGATATCGTCTTGTTACTCTTTTGCCTATAGACTGTAAGCCTTTGTAATTGCATTAAGAACCATAGTTTATACTGATCATTAACAAGGAAATTTCACACTAGAGATTCATTGTACTAAATACCAGTTAAATTACAGTACGGGTATGCATATTATAGACATTATGATTCATTTCTGGAAGACTTTAAAATACTTCAGCTAAAAGAAATTATCTTGCATATTTCTCTCTGTGTAAAACTAAAACCAGGAAAAAAAAATCTTAGTGCTTATAGTATTTGACTTTTTTCTCTGTAAAAATCTTTTCCTGTCATTTCCAGCTCCAATTGCTCTGCCAGTTTTACAGGGACCAACAGTAAAAATGTTATGGAGGAAGACTTATTAATATTTTTTTTGCTCAGTGGAGCTGTATCCCTCCTTGGCTATTTGAGCAAAATAACAAGAACCAATGTCAAAAGTGGACACTTACTGAATATGGCTAGAAAAGAACTAAAAACGTAAAATGAGAAAGTATTCTACTCTGGCCTTTTATGCTACATTGCTACATTACTTGTACTCTAGAAAGCTAACAAAAGAAATACAAAGAATAGTGGATAACAGCATTCAAGGAACTGCATATACGTGCCTTTCTTTTGGACTCTGAATGGATAGAACAGTTGATAAGATGTAATTAGGAACCCATCTTGCAGTTATGCATTTGTATGAGAGAGGACTGCAAATTAAGGGTCTACCAAATAATTAGTTTTTCTTAAACATGCACCTAATTAAATTGCAAGATACAGCAACTCTGATTCTCTCCCTAATGTGCTACTTAAAGGGTCAAGGAATAGGGCTTCAGATATATCCTCCTTCTGGGAAATTAGCACATTCCTCTTTTCCTGAGCATTACTAATTTACTAATTAGTCAGGGAAGATAATTTCTCTTGTTCGTTTTAAGAAAGCCTGTTACTACTGGTGTTTTGCATGGCAGTTGTTTTTGTGTCTGTTGTTTTGTGCTTTTGTTCATTTGTTTGGTTTGGTTTGTTTGTTTATTTTTAATCAACTTATTATCCACAATAGCAGTGTTTGCCCCTCGTCAGTTTTTGCTTTAGTAGTTGTTACCCTTGACACTACCAGTGCAGCAAAGGAAGTGAGTGTAAGATGGAAAGTGTAATCCATGGGAATCAAGGTGGCATTGGATCTTGGCTTTATTATAAATAACTCCAAATAATAGATTAAAAATATGTTAAATGGATTCTTGTGTGGAACTTGTAAAATAGGTTTTGCTAGAACCAGGAGAGAATGCTGGCATTGCCTGCTGGAATTTAATCTGAACACCAAAGGCATCCTGAGAAGAAGGCAGGAATGGACCACGGGGCATTGTGTCCCAAGATATAGATATGGATTAACAAAATCTTACAACAAAATAGAACTAAATTTTTTAATTCCAGACATAAGTGGGTCAGCTCCAAACTGCCTTCAGGGGAATGTATAGCCTTATCTCTTAGAGAGTTTTAGCACTCTATAACAATGTGTAGCAGGTTCAGACAAGCATATAAAGTAGAATTAACATTTACTTCCTGACCCCTATATTGATTTCAGTCCAGCAAATTAGCAATCACAGTCAGCTAATAATGTAGATATGGTTCATTTTGCTATGCTCTTGTTTTAGTAGTAAAGATATATGCAAACTGCAGAAAAAATAGTGTTCTTTATCTGCGCTTTGCTACAAGAGGAAATGTGTCTGAATAGCAACACTTTGGAGACTGATGAGTCATAATCTTGGTGCTGAATTTGTCTCCACCTAGGTATGTGGATAAAAATTTGATTGATTCTGTCAACATATTTTGTGGTAACCACCAGGCTGAGCACAATATTTGGGGTTCAAATTTACCATTCACTTCTTATTGTAGGTTTATGGTAATATTTGCAGATGTTTTGCTAGAATTCTTAGTGCACCTCCAAGTTGTTTTCTGTAACAAAAGCAGCCCTAATATTTAGCCAAAATTCTGGGACACATTTTCAACTGGAGGAACAGATTTATTTTATTTTATTTTTTAATAGATATCCTTCATTAAATATTACCATTTTGGCTGTTCTGAGGATGCTGCAGTTCTGGTATGACTTTGCTTACACTTTACATTAGGATGAAGTCCTGCCACTAAGTCTCTGTCTTGGATCACTCAGCTGGACACAAGGAACGCTTTTCCATATGGGACTCAGAACAATTTTTTCAAGGTAGAGACAATAGCATGGAGCATGGTTATGTTTTAAGGAGCAACTTATAGTTTCTTTTTGGCCTGGTACTTTCTTTCTCTGAAGGTAGATCAGCTCTCTCTGAGGCCTCACATCATCCCACCCATGACTACTGCAGTTGTTTAATATCACCCTTTCATCTTCAGGTTAGTCAGATGAATGTTGCATTTCTGTTTCTTCAAGAAACAAATGTACATAATATTGACTTAAAAAAAAATAAATAAATAAAAAAATCACTTCTTCATGCTGAACTGACTCCCAAAGAACACATAGATGAACTGTGCTGATACTAAGATTTCTTTGCTCTTTTCTCCCTACTAATTATTTATGAGCAGAGAGTTCACAGCTAAAGACATTAAAGTTGAAGGTAGGCAAATGTAAGGAAAATTAAAAAAAAAAAAAGAAGAAGAAGAAAAAGAAGATGTAAAATGTTATGAGATGCGACAACATACTTCCAGCTGTACTAAGTTTTCTCTTCAGTATGTTTGTAGTCAGATTGCATGTACTTTCAAAGTCATTTATTCTTTCATTGAAAGTTAATTACAATTTTCATTTAAACATATTTTAATTTAAATCCATGGAGAAATCCAGCAGATCATTCACAGACTTCCTGTCACTTATTCTTTGAGTAAAAAAGTAATTTCCTCAACATTTGTCAGTTTATTCATCAGTCTTAGTTAAAACGAATAAAGATATTAATCCTTTGAAGAAATTCAGTATTTAGATTACTCATTTCTGTGAACTAGCTGAATAATTCTGACAATTCACATTTCTTGTATAGAGTTAACTTTAATCATTTGCAAAGGTTAATTGGATAAAAGTAGGATCCAATTAACCTACATTATTAATAATTGCATCTTGCTATTCATATATGTTATAAATAGAAGCATTAACAAAACTGATAAAACAGACATAGAATTACCATGGCTGAGCATGCTACATGTAATTCAAACTATTACTGTATCTTTTTATTCTATTCCACAGATGGCTCAATAAACTGTATATATATGAACAAATATATCTGTATCCATATACATACACATGTATACATACACATATACATACATACATATATATGCTAAGGGCTCTTTTTGGTGGATTACCTGCTTGGCTCTTGCCACTCTGTTGAGGGTCTGTAACTGCATCACCTCCTGAAAGATTCCCACAGCTTTAATCTCAATTCTGCGATAAATGCAAAAGGCATCAGGGATAGCTGGGGAAGAGGCTAACATGGAGACCCAAAGTCAGAAGGACTCAGGCATTGTACCTTCTTTGAGTCATCCATTGAGTAATGCCGACCCTCTTAACACAGATCTCTAAACATTCCATACAGAATGGTAACAGAAATGCTACACTTCCACTCCATGAGTTTACCCAAACAAGTCAAAGGATTTCCATGATGTGCTTTTACTGCAGTTCTCTAGCTGCTGTAGAGGCCGGGCAGTACTACTGCATTTACTCTTACCCATATACCCCATGTGTACATTGTATGCATGTGAAGACTGCGGCCAAATGGTTTCTAGTTCCATTAAGCTCTTACAGTTGAATTCTCTAGCAATTCTTTCTTCCTGAGTATAGTACAATCTATATTAAATCTCTCTCTCTCTTTAGTTTTTTTCTTAAAGCCTATTCTCAGACAGACATTGTAAAATGGAATTATTGCCTTTGTGTGTACTCATACAACACAATTGTTTTAATTATACCCGAATCAAGCATTACAGCTACAATAATTTTTTAGAGTCAATGTACAATGTGTCTGAAGTATACAACTGTAATTCTGACCTATGGTAATGTGTTTTGGCAAGGAGGATAGGCATGAGAAAAAGGAAGGTAAAATGCACAGGAATTCCTGTGCATGAAAACCTTTCTGCTTTTACAGAGCTTTACCAATAGATAAATAAATAAAAATAAAAAATCTACTTCAATGTGGAAATGTCTTCACAGTTTTAAAATACATATTTTTCATACTTCATTGGAAGACTCTCCAGAATTGGACTGATGGATGTGCTTTCAGGGACGCTTACTAGGACCAGCTCCACTGATGCCTGAAATAAATATTAATTTAACTGGAACTAGCTCTGTAGTAGAGTTACAAAATAAATGAAGTTGAAGTGATTGGGTACTACTTAAACAATAAAATGAAGCATACTGTGAACATTTGTTTATGTATTGCATATTGTGTGAGGTTATTCAGTGTATTAAAGAGGTAGAAAATATTTGCTTTTCTTGTGAACCCAATGCAAAATAGCTGGAACTACACTGTCAGTTAATATAATAAAACCAGTACAATATATAAAAATATTGATATCAAATCCCTTCTCTCAGTCTTTTCAGCTATAGGTGAATTTCATACCAAATGCAGCTTCACAAATGTGGTACCACAGTCTACAGATATTTTAAGAAAGCCTCATAAAACAAAATCAGAAGGTAGATTCCTATCTTTCAGACCCCACTTATAGCTGTTACCCCATTCATACACAACAGTAATCTGAATAATGAGACTTTTTTTCTAATGTAAGATATGTGGAAGTGTGGAAGGGTATAAGGGTATATTAATTCCGACCTTACTTTTAGTTGCATCAAAATTCAAAAAATCATAGAATGGTTTGGGTTGCAAGGGACTTTAAAGATCATCTACTTTCAACCCACCTGCCATGGACAGGGACACCTCCAGCTAGACCAGGTTGCTCAAAGCCCCGTCCAAACTGGCCTTGAACACTTCCAGAGATTGAGCATCCACATCTGGGACAACCTGTTCCAATGCCTCACCGCTCTCACAGTAAAAATATTTTTCCTAATATCTGTTCCAAATCTACCCTCTCTTAGTTTAAAGCCATCAGTCCTTGTCCTGACACTCCCTGATAAACCAAGCTTTCCCGTAGGTCTTTTTTAGGTACTGGAAGGCTGCAATGAGGTCTCCTGAAGCCTCTTCAGGCTGAACAAGTCCAACTCCCTCAGCCTGTCCTTATAGGAAAGGTGTTCCAGCCCCTCAATCATCTTTGTAACCCTTCTCTGAACTTGTTCTAATAGGTCCGTGTTGCTTGGGCTCCAGAGCTGAATGCCATGCTCCAGGTGGGGTCTCAGGAGAGCAGAGTAGAGGGGCAGAATCACCTCCCTTGACCTGCTGGACACACATTTTTTGATGCAGCCCAGGATATGGTGCATGCCCACATTGCCAGCTTATGTTGAGCTTCTCATCAAACAAAACCCCCAGGTCCTTCTCCTCAGGAATGCTTTCAGTCCATTCTCCCCCTAACCTGCAATTTCTGTGCTTGGAATTGCCCTGGCCCAGATGCAGGATCACTTGACAATTGTTTGAGATGACTTTGGCAAAATTATCCCATCTTCATACCAAAAGGGAGAATAGTCCATCGAGGTCATTGTTGATGTGAGTTAACAAAGCAGGAGGCTGATACATGTCTGACCTTTCAACAATATATTCTACAGCTAAAAAATCTTTTTTTCTTTTTTCCACCTCCTCCAATATTTTTTGATTCATTCACTTTTCAAATTCAATATAAACTGAGTTTCCAATTCTAAAAGAGAAAAAACAAACAAACAAACAAAAAAAAGAAGCAGATTTACTCTTGGGCAAATTGCCAAAGCAGTATTACTAGTATTACTTTTTTTTTTTTTTTTTTTTTTTTTTTGTAGGAATTAAAGGTGACCTGTGAAACCATGACAGCTAAAAAAAAGCAAACCAAAACAAAAATGTAACATGCACATATTGGTGAGGTCCCTCTTTTTGTCTCTTCACAAAACTTGTAAGGAACCCTTGGCAGCATGTTTGGAAACGTCTCATGACTGCTCCTGTCAACACCAGCTGCTGGGTTCAGGGTCACATTCTTTTGTTTATGTTGGAAATCTTCTGTTTATGTTGAAAAATTTGTAAACCTAAGAGTAAAGTTATGTCCTACTAAAACACTAGCATTTTGTGTTCATTCAACATCGTTCTATCTAAATGGGAAAACAGAAGCAGGTAAAAATTGTTTCAAAGGCTTGTTTTGTTTTATTTTAGACTGAGATGGTGTTTTCTAATGTAGTGAACGTTTGTTACATTAAAACAAACAAAAAACAAACAACAACAAAAAAGAACATAGAAAAGGAACAGCTTGCACAGAATTGTGTGCCTTAAGATAGTTTACTTGAAAGGATAAGTAGTTTTCCACAGCCTTAAGAACTTTCAGATTTTAACAAAATTAAACATTTGAAAGTAATGTACACAGCTTACTTTATGAGCAGTTAATGTGCTCCTTTTGTAAGACAAAGAAAGTATTTTTTTGCACAATTCACTTCAGTTGTCAGTGCTAGAAACATGGGGAAAAAAACAAACACTCAGGTCTCAACAGAAAACTTAATTATGTGTTGCCCGTGTCTTTTTACAAACAAAATTTTTACATTTTTTTTTTTTTTTCTGTCCAATTTAAATTCCTATTTTCATCCTGAAAATACAATTTCACTACAAGAAGCCCATGTATGGCAGGGAAGGAGGTTGTAAAAAGAGTTAGCATTAGCCTTTGATTTCTAAATACTGTGCTCAGTAGTTAAGCCCCATCAAATGAAAATAAGCTGGAGTATCTCATTCCAACCTGTTTGTGGATATTGCAGATTTGTTACATAGTTCAGCAGTTTGGCAAAAGCAGCCATTTTTACTTCAAAGAAGCCCAGAGAATGAAATAACATAGACACCTTTCCTTCAGACAGAAACTTGTTAGTAGACCCTATAAATAAGGTTTTTTTGTTTTGTTTTGTTTTGTTTTGTTTTGTTTTGTTTTGTTTTTACCTGCACTGCATCAATCCTTGCCATTAGTCCCCTGCACTCCTGATCATGGTGCCCTCACACGCTATGAGAGATCTCTGCAGAAACCAGGAGGGGCAGCAGTTCAGCCAAGATGGAGCTTCCTGAAGGTCAGCTGTGTTCTGTTCCTCATCCTTACCCAATCCCCCTCTTCCTAAAGCAGTGTTTATTTGCTCAAACTGAGCACATGATTCTTACTGTAGCAGTTCAAACTGCAACATAAAAATAAGCTATTAATCTGTTAGAAGAGATGTGAAAGCTTGGTTCCACTAATCTAATTTACCAGTTTGCGAAAGGAGACTGAGAAGGGATTTCCTATTTGCTTCTGAGTGAAGAGAAGGCCTGTTTAAGCCTAAAGCTCTTCTGAATATATTTGCAAAATAAAAGCATGTTGATGGGTTTCAAGAACATACACAACAATGCTACTTCATGAGAGGTTTATTTCATAGGCACATCTTGCATATGAAGTTTGCATAGGGGACAAAAAAAAAAAAAAGAAAAGAAAAAAAAAGACAAAGAAAAGGGCAAGTAATTAACTATTCCTTCAAAATATCCTGAAGTAACTCATGAAGTTGATTATAAACCTGCGATATCTTCAGATTGTCCAGATCCTTCTGCATGGCATTAGCTCTCGGCTAGAAATCTCTAAAGACCTGCAGTCAGCTAGTAATAAGGGCTGGAAATGTTGATTCCCAGAGAGACCTGGGAGGAATTTAGACCTTCTGAATATGGCTAATCGTGCTGATACCATAATCTGAATTTCCTGTGCATGTTCATTGTTCAGGCTCTCCTTTTACTATGTCATGTATCTCTAGAATTTCTCAGTAAATCCCTCTCTTCTATTTTCTTTAAACCTCTTAAAAATCAAAACTCTGTGAGTGCTCAGCCTTCTATTAGGAAAAAAAAAAATCATCTTAAATTTATGTCTGAATTCAAGACTTTTGCTGTGCAAATTTGGAAATTTAACTGTCAAGTTCAAAGATGTAACCTGTGGACCTATTCTCATGTTTCCCAAGGCACATAATCGATTCTCTGTTGTATATAGCAGAGCAAAACTTTTTGAATATAGAAAAGATCTATAAGAAAAAATGTTTGTGGATGATTTCTTTTCTGAATGAGTGCAGTATAATTTTTATATCCTTTCTGTCATAGGTACACAAAATATTTTTAACATTAAAAATTATTTTAAAATTACCTTTTTCTATATTAAAAAAATACTTCTTTCTCTTTCTCTTTCTCTATTAGAATAGTAGTTGCAACTAGCAGTCAAATTTTTATCATTTTGTAGGCCATAGCTATCTGTTATTAATGTTTACTAGACTCTTAAATTACATGTAATCATTCAACTACAGAGATAAATTTGCAGCCTTTCCTTTTATTGAAATAACACCACAGGTTAAAATTCAGACTACACTGAATTGTTAGCCACATGGAAATTTTTGTATGAACAATATAACACTGTGAACTTATGTCAGGTTATTGAATTAATTGGCTAAATTTGATTATTCATTTAGTAGTGGTTTTATGTTTTATTACTACAACAAACTTCTTTTTTTTTTTTTTGTTTTTGTTTTTGTGTTTTTTTTTCTCCATAACCAAAAATATGACTATCCAAAGCTTTGTTAAAAAACAAGACCTCCAAAATCTGACACCAGGCTTCCAGACTGAAACTTCTATTAATGCACATTAACTTGGTTTACTTTTGGTAATGCCATGGTATCACATGAAGTCATATGGAAACAGGCTTGAAGGTGGAGGAAGGAAAGGTATCTCAAATGTCCAGAGGTTTCTTTTTTCTTTTCCCCTAGCCTTGCCTTGCCTTGCCCCCCTCCCCCTTCCCCTTCCCCTCTCTCTCTGGATAGCTCATACTTCATTACGTTCAGTAGGTTGTAGCCTGTTTCTTCTTTTCTTCTTAATAAAAAATCTTGAAGAGATTGCTAAATTGTACTATTATACAAATAGTGCAGTTGTATTTACTCTAGCTTTTAGCTTTTTTTTTTTTTTTTTTTTTTTTTTTTTTTAGTTGCTTAAAATGGCAGTCTTTTCTGGAGACCTATAAACTCTGAAATAGGATCCCAAGAGAGAAATGATCAGGGAGTGATCATTTATAATCAGGAATATTTAATAATCAGGGAGTGCATGAACCTGTTGCTACCAATGGAGGGTGACAGAGATACTGCCTGCATAAGGTGTGAGCAGGTGGAAGATCTGATCAGCATGGTGGAGAGCTCAAGCAGGACATGGAGAGATTAAGGACTATCAGGGAGTTCGAGCAGTTAGACTGGTGGAGTAACTCCCTGCCATGCCTAAAAGAAAGGCACTGGGGTGATGCACCTCAAATAGTGATGGACTCTCTGCCCTGTCACAGTCAGGCAGAGGGAGGGGATCTGAGAGATGGAGAAGAATGGAAACAGGTCCTTGCTCAGCATCACAGGCAAGCCCCCTCCCTATCTGCCTCGCCTCTCCAGGTGCTCTTACACAACAGGTTTGAGGCCATGGAGCTTGAGGGACAGGATGATGAGGATGTGGGGGAAAGTCCACACAGGAGGTTTTCTAGGGCAAGAAATTCAACTCCATGCTTGAAGACTGACTCCACCGAGAAGAAAAGAAGAGTAATGGACAAAAACAACCCCCTTCTGAGGGGAACGGAGGGCCCTATATTTCAGCTGGACACTACCCATAGGGAATCCTGCTGCCTACCTGGGGCCTGGTTCACAGACATTACCAGGAAAGTTCCTGACCTGGTTTGCCCCTCCAATTATTACCCCTTAGTGATAATTCAGGCTGGCAGTGATGAAATTGCCAAAATAAGCCTGAAGGCTATCAAAAGGGACTTCAGGGGATTGGGGCAGTTACTGTTTGGAGTGGGTGCA